TACTTTTATTTATAAATATCATGTTCTTCGCACTTAAATCATGAATTAGGTTTAACAGAAATATCGGAAAATAATTTTAAAATGAGAATATCTTTAGAATTTCCGATACGCAGTCTCGCGCACTGGATTTAAATATGCTTTTTTTTTTTTCATACAGTGTTGCCGTTGCTCGCTTTTAAATCGTTGAGTTTGTTAATCAAAGACATCTATAATAAGCTTAATTTTCTTGCAAGTAATATCATATAGCAAGAGAATCTGCACGAAAGCAAGAAATAATTAATGTCTGACGTAAATACATCATAATTTTGGAATTATGTTTCCAAATGATGTGCAAGAAGTTGTATTTCAACTTCGACTTTCATGCTATACCATATTTTTTTCAAGTGCAGATAATCGCATAATTAATATTTTTTATCGTTCTTGTTTCTAATTTGAGAACTTGATGTTACATGCATCTTTAGATGTTGAAACTTTTAAATAACTGACGTCAAGTAGTCTGAAAAACAGAGCGATTTTCTAAAATTCTTATTTCTAAAGAAAATCAGAATTTATATTACAAATTTCATACAAATTTCATTTAAAAGATTTATTTCTGTTCTACCTGAAAGTATAAACATTAGATTTCTGAGATTTTTAGTCCAAAGGAGCTTTGTCCCTGAAGGACTATTGTTTTCGTTTTGCGATTTTGCAAAGGCTGTATCACTTTTCAAATCGTTGTCAACAAATACTATCGCACTGTATGATATTTGAAGAAATTAAATAATGAAGAATCTGCGTAAATTTATGTATGTTTCTCGCATTGTGATAATACAAGAGTAAATAGAGCCATTCATTTTTGCTTCCTTGTACGAAGTAAAAAGGAAGTATTGTAATCGCGAAAAGTTTCAGGCAGCATATTTCAACGAAAATATCCAGTTTGACCGCTATCGAATGCAAGTTAACGATGTGTTTGCGTGATATATGTACGTAAGGACAGAATAAAAGACTCGTTTCCTCCAAAAAAATTATAAAACTGCTTTAAAATAAATTCTGAAGAGAATTTTTCGTGGCGTCTGTACGAACGTATGTACGTACGTATCTCGCATAACTCAAAAACGAGTAGCCTAAGAACGTTGAAATTTTGTATGTAGGACTGCTATAACATGTTAGATGTGCACCTCGTATTTTGGTTGCAAACGGCCGCACCAAACGTATATATATATATCCACTCTGTTACCCGGCTCAGTGATCTCAGTTTTATTCGTATATGTTTGTAAATTGTACATTTTGTGCTTTAAAAATGATTGAATTATGTTGTTTTTATCTTCCGGTTAAGGTTTTTATGCCTTTAGTAAATCTGTATGCAATATTTTTAGAATTATCAACAATTTTAAAGTTGTTTAAGTGCCGCTAAGCCTTTTTTCTTGATGGCGGCCATTGATTGTCCACATTTGAAACAGCAGACTGGTGGATTTGTTGCCAATCTAGAGAAACTTAGCTTCGCAATAACAAAAATAACGCCTTCATTTATTATTGACAATTAAATCACGCTTAATCCTTTCTGGAATTTTTTTCGAGGAAATAAGTGTTTAAGATTACTTCGTAATTTTTAATATAGATATTTGGGGTATTTATGTATTTTTGCCTTCTCGCGAAGTGAGAACTGAATTAATTGAATGAGAAATACTCAATCGTCTGTGAAAAACTATTCTTTTTTTTGTTTGCTTAATTTCTTTTACATTTTAAGCTTTTATAGTATTGAATAGAACATGTGGCAACGATTAGATAATTCTATTTTTAAATGATATAAATTTTGTGCATTCTGAGTTATAATATGAAAAATAATACTGTTAAGTGAATCCAGCGCTAGAGTGTCGCTATCGTAAACAATACTAGAGTGAATTTTAAAGAATGCATTTATTCTATGTGGTTTATGCGCTGTCGGCGAAGTAGATTTAATTCAATCCAATAAGTTTAAATGAAATGCAAGAAAAAATTGCGTATAATTTAATATTCGTCCATGTGTTAGACATCAATCTAAATGACTTTCCACTGCAACCATGTACATCTGAAAGCCCAAATTTGAAATTTGAACTTCTTTATTATCGTTTCATATTTTGTAAATTTTAATGAATTTTTGATTAACAAATTCAACGATTTGTTAATCAAAAAGCAATGGCAACGCTCTATGGGGGAGAGAAAACCTTTTTATCTCTAGCGCGCGGAACTGTGTATGGAAATTCTAAAGATATACTTTTAGTTGTTTTTTTTTTTTTTTTTTTTTTTTTTTTTTTTTTTTTTTTTTTTGGATACTCAAAGATAGACGCGAAAATTCGTTTCAGCATTAAATTAAAAAATCTGATGTGGACACCACATGACTTCCTTGTACGGCCTATAAAGCTATGCACATTTTTTGCTTTCAAACTTTTTTTCGAATTATCCTAACTTGAATAACAGATCTCTCTAGTCAAGTAGAAAAAGGTTTATAAAAAATTGCGAATTTTTTTTTAGATTAAATACCCCGATCAGTTTTTGCTGTAGGGGAGTTAAACGTCTTATAATTTTATTTTTTTCATAACGTGTGCAACACGCTCCTAAATATAAGTATAGGAACAGGAAGTCACATTAAAAGTTAGATTTCATTATTTGACGAAAATTATTATTATTATTATTATTTAATTTTATTTTGCGAGAACAGAAATATTTTCATCATTTGATAACATTTCGGTAATTGGAAGTATATGCCTAAGACCAACGATTTCGAAAATAAAAGCCGGGTAACGCGGTAGGTATATGTGTATTATTGTACTGCTGATTACAATAAAAAAGGGAAGTGCAAAACTAGATAGCTGTCCCATACACATAATTTCAACGTTCTACGGTTAATCGTTTTTTGGCCATGCAAGATAAATGCATACATACTGACTGATACATACATACGGACGTCACGATAAAGTCACTTTTGATTCCATTGTAAGTCCATTTTGGAAAAATGAGTCCTATATTCTGTCCGTACGTATAAGTTAGGTTAGCTATACATGTAGGAGTCATGTATTATTTACACTGAGTAAGGAGGTAAAGTCCCTTACACTATACAACACCCTTACACCGTCCGCACATAAAACTCTCATGCAAAATACCGTTTAAATGGAATCGGGAACGGCCAAAATTGGTGTTTCCGTTGAAATATGGTACCAGAAAGTTTTCGCGATGAAAATACTTCTTTTACTTTGTACAAGGAAGCAAAAAGGATCTAAATCAAATTTTGAAAAAAATCGCTTCACCACACTGCATTATCATACCCGATAGCTTGTCAGGAAATAGCTTAATAATCGATGACAAATTTTTGGCGAGAGGCACAAAAAGCATGAAGATTAAATGAAGACTTATATTTAGAAGAATGAATGAATGAATGAAGATAATGTGATGTTAATATAAAACTGCTTGGAATTTGGAGGGAAGAAATAAAAATAGCACACTAAATTACAGCATTGTATTAAAACATTGTAAATTAATTCTAAAAAAATGTAAATTTATTCATATAGCATTGTAAATCCTGCTCTCGCGACCAACTCCCTAAGACTACCATCTCTAAAAAAATAGCATTATACGGAGAATACATATAAAAATACTTAATAAAATACTTATCAAAGATCTTCATCATAGAATTTCAAAATCACCTCGAAATGTGAATGGTTGTATTAGAGAGTGTACTCCGCATTTATTTATATTTTCCACCTTTAAATCTTGGAAGTATGCTACACACAGCGTAGGAAAAAGATGGCTATAAACTAAAATTCCTTAAATATCATAGCTTTGTAGTTGGAAATGTTTTATGCATGCACTCCCACATGCAGTTTCTCAAATTTGAGGTGAATTTTATATAAACAGTCCCAAACTTGACAGCGAGAAGATTTTGTAGATATAAAAATCTAGCTCTCTATGAGGTACCGTAAAACAAAAATTCAAGGTAGCATAATATTTATTATGCTGTAGTGAACATCCAAAATTAGCAAAAGATTCTCGATTAATACGTTCATGGAAACTATTATACATTTAGCGCTTAAGATTCTTGCACTCATCATGACAATAGTGAAAACAGAAAAGAACATTTTTTATCATGTAAATGCATCCTCAATTGATCGAAAAATTAAGAATTTCGATGGATAATAGGCGCTGTAAAATGATCTCAGTAAAATCGTTCTCGAATGTAGTCATTTATTTCATATGTATAGAAATCCTCCGCTTACAATATTGATTCTGACATTTTGTAAATGATTTTTTTTTTCATTTTAATTAGAAATATCTGCCTAAGATATTTGTTTAAGGAAATTAAAATATATGGCCGTCTTTTACAAACACTCTGTGCATACAATAAAATATACTAAAGATTACATTTCACACATAAAACATGGTAAAATGGATTGGTGAATTGAAAATGATGAAAATTATGAATCACACTTCGAATGATTTTCTTCTAATTACAAATAAGCAAATTTGTAAATGTGGATCTACAAAATAGAATATGTCAGCATTTTGCATCTAGATACATAAATTTTAAGTTGTAGTTATTTTAAATATATTAAAATATTAATTATATAGTATATAATATGATGATCTTATTATTAGAATACTAAAACTGTTCCCTATATAAACCATCAGTCTTCTTAAAGCGAAAATGCACCTTTTTTTTTATTCCTAAGAGCAAACGTTTCGTTAAAATCAGAAATTTAATATCGTAAAATCTATAGTATTAAAGATAAAATTTAGCTCTAATAAATTTTTATAGTAAACCAGGAATAATTTATGCAGATATTTACCTGATAAAAAGGTGCATTATAATTTTGCATATAAATTTAATATATAATACAAGAAGAATCAGAAAATCTGTTTAGAATTTAATATTCGACAATTGGATTAACAATTATTATTTAGACAGGGAGTAAGTAATTTAATATTATATACACATTTCTATATAAAAAAAATGTATACAAAGTTAGAAACAACAAATCACTTACTACCTTTTCCCACACTTGCAAGATGTTTACGCGGCTGAAAATTCTCTACTTTCAGTGAACATAGAGAGCAGTGTTGAGGACAGTCTCGGCAATAATCGCTATGAAATTTAGCTATATAAATATACTTCTATACGATCAGATATGTATACTGTTTGCGCATAGATTCTGGTTTAGCTTTGCATGCAAAAAAGGCAATTATTGAGGGAGATGCCGACGAAAATGTAACACTCACTTCCATTGCTAGCAATGCTCCTTTAATGATTGCTGTCAGGTGTAGATGGCGCTGTGTGCCAGCGTGAGAATGCTCTTCAATGGCTGGCTGTTAAAGCGGGAAAAAAATACAGTCGAATGATAAAATCTCGAGCGCTTATTAGTAAGAGGGCTGGAGTTTTTATAAGTTATTTGATTTTGGGAATTCATTAGAAGTACCTTTTAGCAGTTTCATCATATCTATCTTGGAGTTCATTAAAAGCTTTACACGAATTTTTCAAATAGTGTTCTAAATTTATTTAAATATGATACACAAAAAATAACATTTATTATCAATTACACCTAATAACTAAGTTCAATAATTGGACAATTCAAGTTTGAAAAATTAACAAAAGAATCCAATAACTAATAATTTGATAAAAATAAAATTTAATAAAACAGTTTTAAGTTGCCTAATAATTATGCAGTTTTTAAGCCAATTAATTTTAATAAATGAACAAAATAAGTTCGTAAAAAATATGTGTATTTGAATTTTCATTAGCACGTTTTAATATATATATTTTCTAGTTTCCTAATCCAAAATGTGGTATGTCTGAACAATAATCTGTAATTTGCTAGGAATATAATTAATAACTATATACCGAAAAAATAAAAGTAATTCCCATTTTTACAGCTATTAAATACCAGGTAAAAAAAGAGGTATCCTGCATTAAATGAGAGAGAAAGTTATGCGGTCTATCATTCAATAAATCATCTGGTCTACAGCAAAATAATTATTGGAGTAAAAGGATGTATGTCTGAGATCTAGCTCACCAGCAGTCGAAGGATTAAGATGACTGAAACCTGGTAATTTTGGGCAGAAATAAATCCGATTGTAGAGTCTAAATGTAGAGATTTACTTTATATAAAAAACCCTCAGCGAAGGTGCATAGACAGATTCAATAAACTTCAGATTTACGTGTAAAAAATGTTTGGCAATAAATTTCTCTTGCACACATGTAGTGACAATAAAAAGAAGTAAATCTGAAAGTTTTAGATCAACTGTTTGTTTTTAGTCCAAAGGGGCAAATTGCCCAGAAGGACTATTAATTTCGTTTTAACATTTTGCGTTGGTTCAAGATAAATGTCGGTTCACTTTTCAAAAAACTTGCCACCACGAATTTTTGATTAACAAACTCAATGATTTAAAAGCGAGCACTGGCAACACTTTACAGGAAGGGAGGGGGAACCTTTTATCTCCAGCGCGCGGAACTGTGTATCAGAAATTCTAAAGATATTCTCATTTTAAAAGTATTTTGCGATATTGCTGTTGAACTGAGTTTAAGTGCGAAGAACATAATATTTAATAAATAAATGTAATACACAAAAAGGTTAAAAAAGTCCCTGTGGGCGTAATTTAAATTCTGAAACCTTTCGGATTTGAATTTTTTTGTTTTTGTTTTTATTTTATTTTTTTATTTGACTATTTACAATATGAGATTTTACGAATTCTTTTTTTTTTTTTTTTTTTTTTTTATTTACGGAATGAAATAAGCTCTCTAATCTGTTACGATTTCACTCATAACCATAGGAAAAAGAGTTACGGAGAAACTGTCAATTTTTTTTCCACTTCATTTCCATTTAGTGTGTTTCACTTTATGAAAAGCACGCGAATGAAGACTGACATGAACTACAGTTGCAGATGAAGTAAAAAAAATAAGCGGCTGGCAACGACCTTATAGCGTCTATTTTAAAGTAAGAGACTATAATTTGTACCGAAATTAAGATATCGAATGTTTTGTACCGAAATGTTTAAAACTGATTATCCTCGTGTGATTAAATTTTTAGCTAAAGAAGGTTTTTTTCCCCAAAAATAGAACAACACTTCGATCACGTCATGGTGATTTGTCTGCTTACAATTCTGTACTGAAGGAATGAGTAAAACTCTTTCGCATAGGCCGATAATACGTAGAAAGATATTAGTACATTATTAATTGTGTGTGAATAGTGAGTGATAAGAAGTTAAAACTCACGGAGATAGCAACAAAATTGGATTCACTTAAACAAAAGTTTTGCTAATTTAACATGAATGTATTCACAAGAACAAAGTCTCTGCAAAATAGGTACCCGCCTTCTTTCAGTAAATTAAAAACTGCAACATATCACTTCAATTTAAAAGCAGCTAAGTGTACTAAAGAAGCATGAACCCCCCTTTCAGCCCAGAGTTTGCTTTAGTGATAGTTATTTGTTCTTCAAACTGAAATCTGATGTCCGTGCAAAGATATTTAATTATAATATTAAAGCGAAAAGAGAAGTTATGAATATTTTGAGGGAAAATTGTAAGATTACTTTTGAGAAGCATAAAGTCGCTCATTGAACATTGTAAAAATATACCGAAGTACAATGAGATTATCGAAACATAAATTACAGAAATTTTCTTTATTTCGCTTAGACGTATAATTAAGCAAGTAGCATTTCAGTCTACCTAGCAGCGTATATAGTACTACTTATTTAATGAAAATAATATATATTTTTATAGCATTATCATTAAATTTATTTTCACGAAGGTCAGGTTTCAGTTTGAACGACAGACAACAAACACTTGGAATTAAATCTGGGATGTAAGGGGACTGATCAAATTTCTTAAACTCGCATTTCGTTTCTGCCATTTTAGCTACAACAACTGAATACAAAAGCGCATTATAGTATAGCAGATAAGATGAACTCCATGGCTTAGCATAAGTTTTCTCTCTAAATTCATTGCTTAGTTTTTGCAAAAGGCCTGCATAATATCACCCTTAATGGTTGTATTTCTTTCTTTAATGTCTATTGGGAGGATCTGCTGACACTATCAAAGAAAAGTGTTCATTAGCGCTTTCATTAATTCGTTGGACATTTCGTTTTCTTGTGGTGCTTCACCCAGTTTTATTCCTTCCACTAATTCCCATTTCGACAGAGGATCAAAGGAAAGGACCATTGTTTCATCGCCATTTTTCATATGAATAGTAAAAGATTTCTGTGATTGACACTGTAGAGCTGAACTATTTCTCAGAGTAAAAAGAAATTCATTGAGGGTACTCCGCACAATTTTCAAATTATTGGCTAAAATAGTATTAGAAAATCAAATTCAGCATTTGTACCCAAACATATGGTTAATATAAATATATTGTTGTTGTGCTTTTCCTCCGGTTTCTGACGAAGTCAGACAGGATCCAAAAGACCATTGACTCTAAGAAAGTCGAGCACAAGGAGGGGATTGGTGTAAATATCCTTCCTAGAGAGGCCCAAGCAGCTTAATATGTGCCTGGCAGACGCCTGATGTTCTCGAATCAGCATGGCTCACCCTCCTAAGTCCTATTGATTGCCTCATCGTGGCAAGTGGGTGTTCCTGGGCGGAATGGGTGAAGTACGTCGGGAGTTCGCTTTTGGTGCTCCCAGTTTCCGGACTAACAGAAGCTGCATATTCTCTCCTCTATATGATTTTATTGACTTGTTGATGAATATAAATATATGTTGGAATAATACTCGTATTCTTTTATTTCAATGCTTTATATTAGAGTAATATTCTGTTATTTTAATGCTATGTTATATCATCTAATTATTAAAAAATACAGATTGTCATTTGTCGTAAGAAGAATGATTCATGAAGAATTTAATAATTTCGAATTTATATTATGCACGAAAAAAGCTATGAAATCTCTATGCAACCAATACGCTACAAGGCCGGAATGAGCTGCTAATATTCAGATGACATGCTAGAAGGATTTAGTTTATTTAATGATTTATCTTCTTATTTGAGCTATACTACTACTTTTAATTTTTGTTAGTCTAACGGAATGTAAATGAGATGCGTATTTAGAAGAACAGAGTTCTTGAAAGTTAGATATAGCTTTGGTAACGACTCTTGTGATATTTCCTCACCCAGCTTTAAGATTAATTTGATTTGATATTATCCTCTACGCTAGCCGAGTTACTCGCACATTTAGTTAGAAGGACCCAACACGTATTAGGCGTTTGCAGTTGTAATTCACCGTTGAATTGCTTTGCATTTTAAATTCACATTTTATGCTTCTAAAATTCTGTAAGCTGTCGAAATTTTATTTCTAAGCACTCACCGTGCGTTTTAAGCTTAAAGTTTGAATAAAAAGATTTATTTAAACCTTCTTCTCAAACTGTTGCCATTTTCATAGACAGGACTATGTCTCAGTAGGGACCAAGATTCTAAGTCAACCAAGGAGGAGAACCCAACAATATTATTTTGACTGTTAATCAACACGTAAACAAACAAAATAAGATTTTCATTCTTCTGGAAATGTTCAGTTTTTATATTGACGTTTCAGTCTTTATTTTATTTGTGTAAAACTTTCAGTTGAATATCTGCTTAAAGTCTGCTGCTCTTCTTCTAATGCCACTGAACTGGTCTTGTATATTTATTGATCAGTAGTAGTGGAGAAGTATTTATCAGCAAAGTTTGGGATACAAATATTAAATGAATTAACCATCAAAGTTAAAATATCAGGAAGGTTATTATATCATCTACTTATTCTGATTCTTGTTTAGTACAAAATATAGGAAAATTAAATAGTGTAACACCATTTTTATGCAAATGAAATTAAATACACATGTAAAAGCGCAAAGTAATATTATATTGCTTTAAGTAGCTATCTAATATGTGTAAATTTCACTCGCAGATGCCATAATTACATCTCAGTAGAGAATACGCACCATTTGTTGTCAAAGCAATGAACAAGCCAATTCATTCCTTCATAATGAGAAATAGTTTCAAATAGAATGTATTGCATGTGCTTATAATATCTCAGATATGAAACATCTTCAAAGCAAAGAACCTTTGAGGCATTTTAATTCTAGGAAAAAGGGGGAAATTGCAAGGGGAAAAATGAGAGAACACAGAGGATGTTTTAGGATATTTATTTGCTGACTAGTTAAATAGTCTTTGATGATGGGGGTAATATGATTTAGAAGTTGTTATGAAAAATAGTACTTTATCTTTTTAATAAAAAATATTTCCTCTCTTTC